CTCTTTGGCCTATGAAATTGACCCGCGAGCAATCGTCCATTTTCTTCGCCGGCCGCGGCGAGCCGTATGTCCCGCCCGTCGCGTCGCGCGCTCTAATTTGTACAACTATTTTTATTAATATCTCGAAATTTTACGTGGTTGTTTGAAAAATGACCTCTACAATTTTTGTTCAGTTTATCTGTTCTACCTATATTTTTCTTTTGGCATGCTTTATGCGGGACACTCTGTATATACAAATTATATGTATGTATTTGACTTAGTGCATTGATTAAAATATATGCATTATGAACACATTATTATTTTCCACATTCTTTAGAATAAGTGTTTTTAATTCTAGAAATTAAAACATTTTTTATGTTATATAGTTCTGGAAAGATGCAGAATTACAGGTCAATAAGATTACGCTGAAGAAGGATTAGCTGAAGCAAAAAAATTAGAAGAAAGAAGATAGCAAGAGGTAGCAGTTATTATATCTGAAAATGATAAAATTAAATAAAAAAATAAGTGAGTATGCCTAAAATTTCAAGTAAATATTATAGGCGAGCAAAAACTAATACAGATGCGTTAAAAAATTCAATTAAATCTAATCAAGATTTTGATCAATGTTTAAATGTAAATAATGATGTGAATATTAATGAACAGTTAAATTGCATTGAATTAGATTATAATAATTTCAATAACAATGAATTTGATAACAATATATTAGAAAGTTCTGATTCAAATAATGACATATACAATGATGATTTGAATAATGATTTGATTAATGAAAAATGTTTAAATAATAATGAATCAATTAATAATTATGAAAATTTTAATACAGTTAATAAATGCTCGTTAGAATCACAACTTGCTACTTGGTCTTGGAAAAATAAAATTACTCATGTCGCACTTAATGAATTATTAGTTATTTTAAAGCCAATTCATATTGATTTCACCTTCGAATGCTCGCGTATTAATGAAAACTCCTAGAAAGAAAACATTGAAAATTGTTGAACCAGGACATTATTATCATTTCGGTTTAAATAATTGCGTTCAAAAACTTTCTTCAGTCGTAACGTTAAGAAATTTACAACAAATAGAAGTTTATATAAATATTCATGATTTACCACTTTTTAAAAGTTTAAACCAGCAGTTGTGGCCAATATTATGTAGTTTAGTTGAAAATCATAATAATGTAGGTATTGTGGGTATATTTCACGGGGAAAAAAGCCAGATAATGCAAATGTATTTTTAAAGGATTTTATTGCTGAAGCTATCGATTTATTAACGCATGGTATTATAATAAATGGATCTAATTATCCCTTTAAAATTAAAGGTTTTATTTGTGATACGCCTGCTAAAGCATTTATTAAATTGTTATTGCGGTTACTATGCATGTACAAAATGTGTTATAGAAGGGAATTATATTAAAGATAGAGTTTCTTTCTCAAGTTTAAGGAAATGCCGTGATAGAACAGACTTCGATTTTAGATCAAAATCTCAAGATGATCATCATGTAAAGTCAAAAACATCAGATCTTGAATTACTTAAAAATTTGAATATGATTAGTGATTTTCCTGTAGAGCCGATGCATTTAATTGATCTGGACGTTACAAAAACTTTAATGAATATGTGGTGTAATGGTTAACCATCCACAAAATTATCTACAAATTTCACAAATTTCTCAATTGTTAATAAATCAGATTAAAAATATTCCATTAGAATTTAATCGTAAACCAAGAACATTAGAAGAAAGTAAAAGGTAGAAGGCGACAGAATTCAGACAATTTTTATTATACACAGGACCAGTTGTTTTAAAATCTGCACTTAATCGTAATAATTATCTCAATTTCATGTCATTGAATATAGCTGTCACTATTTTATCATCTACTTATCATATTAAATATTTATATTACATTAATTCTCTTTTTAATTATTTTATAAAAACTTTTAGTGCTTTGTATGGCAAAGCCAATTATTCAATTAATATTCATAATTTATTACATGTATGGGATGATGTAAAAAACTTTGGAATTTTGCAAAAATACAGTGCTTATCCCTTTGAAAATTACATGCAAAAGATAAAAGGATATATTCGTAAAAAAGATAAACCATTACAACAAATAGTTAATCGTATTTATGAAGAAAATTTTGTGGAATTAAATAAAGAAAATAATTTCAATAAATTTGAATTATTAAACAAACATGATAACGGTCCTTTTGATCAGTTTTTGTATACCAGTCAGTGGGAAAAAGTAGTATTTTCTAATTTTACTTTAAAAATAAAAGAACCAGATAATTGTTGCACTTTAAAGAATGGTGACATTATTTTAATTAAAAATATTGCCAGTAACAATGAAAATACAGTTATAATTGCAAATAAATATGAATCAAGAGAAGATTTTTATTCTGAGCCATGTAAGTCTTCTGATTTAGGTTTATATTTAATAGAAAACGTTGCTAACTATCATCGAAGTTGGAATATAAGTGAAATATCGCATAAATGTGTTAGATTACAGTTTAATGATAAATGTGTTATTTTTCCTTTACTTCATTCTCTATAATTGGATTTTAATAATTTAATTTTTGCAAATTAAAAAATTTTAATTAAAAATGATTTAAATAAGATCGATTTTATTTCATAACTAAAATTAATGATACGCACAGAACCGAAACAAGTGCTTTTGCATATAAACTTTTAAAATAATTACTTCGTTTAGAATATACATTTTTCGACAATAAAGTCTTCCTTTTCAGTCGTTATCGGTTCGATTCCACATATATACATTTATAATATTTATTAATGTGGTGTAGAATAATACTGCGTACACAAATTTTTGATTATTTGCATAAAAAGATGACTAAAACGTGGACAATTGTAATTTTTACGGACGAAGATACTGTAGAAGCAGTTCCATCTACTTGGATAATTGATAACAAGTGTTACTGGCCGTCACTTACTTTTGAAAAATTAACTGCTGCAATTAAAAACCAAATATTTTTTGGCCCTCATATCCTATTCGGATTAAACGAAATGGAACTTTCGGTGAATATATATATTACATATTATGTTTTCTTAGTAAATTCTTAATTAAAATTCTATTTTTTATTGTATATCCTGTAATATTATGTCGTTTATTTTGTTTTAGCCAATTTTTCGAAGGCAAGAGAAAAATGTTGTAAAGCTCAAAATTTTTCTGATGTACATTCTGATATATCCAGTAGATTACCTTGGACTAAAAGAAGGAAAGTAATAAGAAAAACCTACAGCTCTGCATTTGAGGAGAATAATTCATCGTCATCAGATGATAACAACAATTGTAACAATTTGTCTAAGTCCAATAATAAAAATTTGTCGAAATTACCGAGTCCTCCACATTTAACGAGTGGTTTGTATACATTTATGTATTTTATAGAAAGTTTTATTACCTTATAAATAAAATAAAACAGCGAACAATCTACAAATTTAAAATACACTTTTAAATCGTTTAACTCTTAATTGTTTTTTTTTCAGAAGTCAGTATAAAAACAATGAAAAAAAAGAGCACTGATAAAACTAATATTGATAACATTAATACATCGCCAAGTACTTCAAAGGAACTTTCAAGAAATCTCTCAAAATTGTATGGTAAATTATTTTTCATAATACAAAATTATTTAAAACTTTTTTCATGTGTTTCAAATGTAAAGATATACATAGGTCAACATTCAGAAATGCGCTTAAAAATGTTAGCGCGTTATTATTTAATAGAAGAATTTGTTTTGCATAATATAAATCTTTTTAACAATGCGTTAACATCTTTATAAGTGCGTTCTGAATATTGACTATATAATATACCTTTTATGTAATATATACTTTTTCCAAATGTAAAAATATATATTATATTAATATACAGGGTGTCTGGTAACTGATTGAGCAGCCGCCGTGTGCAGGTAGAACAGGTCAAAATAATCATAAAAGTTATATACCATTTTGAAATTTTCTCAATATTTACCTCGTAATTAATGAAAATGTATAAACGAATCAGCGTACGAGAAGCGGTAGGGCAGGCTCTGTGTGTGAAAGAAATGGCTTACCTCTTAGCAACGATAAATAAACAGCTGATTTCGAGGCGGAGTAACAAGCGACACGTAGCACGCGGCCGCGCGCCGAAAAATTATTGTCCTCCGTTACGTGACTCTCCGAGTTCACATAGGAAAATTATAAAGCGCTATCATTTCCTCACCACCTAGCGGTAGATAGCACGGTGCGTTTTTTTTATAGTGGTATCCCCAGTAGGCCTAATCCACTCTCATTATTTAATGCAAAAAACCTAACCTAGATTGCGATAATATACACAATAGATTACAATAATATGTACAATAAATTACAATAATATATACAATAAAAATGTCGCTCCTATCGATTGTATGTCTCAGCATGGAAAACGATTCATCACGGCATATAAGTCGTAAAAATGTTTATTTTTCTTCTTTTTCCTGTTTTCACTGTTTACGATACAATTGGCGGATGCTAGAATGCGACATTTTCCGGCATCATAGTTGCGTCCCTTCATCATGTGATCCCGCTGATGCCTTACAAGTTTCCGGCACCACTTCCGACTGCGGCTTTAATTGTACGTTTTTAACCGACTTGAGAACATCCACAATGTATTTGTGTTCACGCAGCTGTTTCTTAGCCAGCAGTGGTATTGAACAATTGTTCAACCATTTTTGAAGACAAGTGCCATATTCGATCGCCTGTTCGATCCCAGTGTTGTTGGGATTCATCTTGGCGACCCGCAGTGCCTGCATAATTTCTGAGGAAAATGTTGGTTCGATCACGGGCGGTGTCGTTAGCGTACCTCTTTCAGCCGCGGTAATGGAAGAATCTTCATTCTCGCGACTCTCCGATCTTTCACTCAAGACACTGTGACTGCGAGCCCTGTTCTCGCTGCTGTCATCGCCGACAATGTTACCGATGATATTATTACCGCTCAAAGCTAAATCTATATTAGTCTTTTTACTTTCACGAGTGCAATTAGCTTTCTTTGGCAGTGATGATGCTGGAGCTGGTGTTGTGGATGCTTCAGCCGCAGGTGTCATACTTGGTGATTTTCGCGTGTAAGAACTGGAGATACCTTGGGTTGACGCAACGGCGATGTTTCTATTACCGGTAGTATAGTCCAATGCGTTCCCCATAACGTTACCGATCATATTTCCCATCGTGTTGCGAACGCCATCAATGCTGCTAGTGTTGATGGCGGAATTACTAACAATCGTGCTACTGGCTATTGTGGGTAATATGGTATTATTTGTCCAGGTATATTGTAACCCGTTTTCTGCAAAGCTAACGTAGTTGCGTGACATTATATCCAGAGTGGGCCATATTGTACTTATATTTTGCTGGGCACTAGAAATCATTGGAGCAAACAAAGCAGCAGCATAATCTGAATTGTAATTGTGGCCTATGAGACTACCCGCTAAACTAGTAGATGGACCTGGCAATATAGTCTGCGGAATGTTCTGCCGACTGGTACGATCTATTTTCGCCTTTTTTGCTACCGGAGCGTCTTCGTCCGGTGTAGCAAGTGATTGTCGGCCATTTGCCGACATTGAGCGACCGATGTTCACTGGCGCGTGTCGCGGACCCATCCCAATTGCCACATTGTTATACCGGCTGCGAATTTTGTGTTCTGATTTGCACCATCCGCGCAATGTGGACTCAGCGACTCCGATATCTCGAGCAACAGAGGCTTTACTCTCGCCACCGTGGACGCGATCAATGGCGCTTACTTTTTCCGCCAGCGAAAAATACTTAATGTGACGTTTCTCTGGGCGTGATTGGCCGTTCCTCGGCGCCGCTGCCATCACCTGCATGGTGGTGCGGCCTCCTTCATCCACGATGAGGCGAGTGTTGTCAGTTGGCTGGTCATTGGCTACGTTCTCGTCGATGTGTGTCCCGTCGTTTATTGTACGGTGGTCACGTGCCCGTGATCTGCTACAATCACGACCGTGATCCATGAGGGACTGCATCGTGAAATCCAGTTTGAACGGATAACGATCTATTTTGAATTGCTACGATCTTTCCGTGCTTTCTGGATAAACCTTTCTTCACGTTCGCGCAAGTTCACATTCACGTGGTCGCTCTTCTTCCTGTTCCTTCTTTTGAGTTGCTACATGCGATTTGCCGCTCGCTACGTCGATCGATTTACGTTTCTAAATCGCATTATTCAACAACCGACTACTACTACCGATCTCATCTGCCTGTAAACACGCAAAAAATTTCAATTGTAGCTACGCTATAGATAGATGGAGTGAGAGAGTAGCCGAGAAAGAAACGCGAGAAATGACGACGAAGACGACGAGGACGACATCGAAGATGCGCGAACGAAGCCGTGTGGCGCGCTCACACGCCCGTAACTCGCGTCGCGAAATCGCGTACGTTCCGCGAAAGGCAATTCGCTGAACGATGAGATGAAACTAGAGAGAGAACGAGACATTGGAGATAAAGGGAGCGAGAGAGAATCAACCGATAAGAAACGAGGAGAGGCCTGGACCTCGCCCCCTCACCCGGATACGATGACAAGACGACACCACCGCACGTCGTCCGCGGCGCGGTACGACGAGAGAGAAAGAGAGATACGTGCGCCGCAACGTTGGCGCGGCGTATGGTGCTGATTCATATTTCGCGCAGCAATAAATATTGTCGTGTGTAAACGTGGTTACGTTGCCGCTACCACCGCCGCAGCTGGTCGGAGAAGTAGTCGGTCCATTAGGAATAGCGTGCTCTGCCGGGGGTAGTAGATATAGGCTAAAGCGAGATAGACAGTTCGACATGAATGGAGACGGAAATAGAGTACACACGTTCCGGCAAGCGAGAGGTCGCAATACCGGCCGAAGATCAGTTTTCGCTGTTGCATTATTCGTTACTGTTCTCTCTCGTCGCGCGCGGTACTTGCTTCACGTAACGTCGTTCTCGTCGTCGTGTTGCAACGTCAACATCATTGCCGTCTCTGTCGTTGTTAGAATTTGTGAAGTGGACGAATATAAA